ACAAGTAATAACAACAATAATCAATATCATCATGGCGGGGGCCGGTGGGCGGCAGTGGCAGCAGCAGCGGCAGGACTGGTCTGGGGCCGGTCCAAAGGCCTCAGGGGGCTGCATCCGGCCCCCGGGCCTTAGGTTGCCTACCCCTGCTGTAAAATATAGCAACAAGAACAACTAGTTTTAGTTGTATACTAAATATTTTACTTGTAACTTTACATTACAACTGGGAATTGACCTGAAGCATTGTGGATGTTCCAGTTATAAGGGAGGAAGAAAGGAGAAGCAGGAGAATGTTTTTGGTGGGGTGGATGAAAATGTGGGTTTTCAAAAATTCATGCAGCTCCCCTCTTCCAAGCTCAATACAGGGGTGGTAGTTTAAAAGCAGGGAAGGTGTTTTTACTTTCGTTCAGTCATGGTTTCAGAGCAGGTGCTTAACTTAAAAGACAATTTAATGACAAGGAGAAGTGTAAGATACTGGATTTAGACAGAAAAAAATTAAATGCACAGGTAAAGGATGGGTGACACCTGGATTGACAAGACATGTGAAAGGGATCTAGGAGTCTTAATAGACCATGTGCTGAACATGAGCCAAGAGTGTAATGTGACAACTGAATGTGACTCTAGGCTGCATCAATAGGGGTATAATGTCTAGATAGAGGAAAGTAATAATACCACTTTATTTGCTTTGGTCTGGCCTCACCTTGAATACTGTGTTGAGTTCTGGGCACCACAATTCACGAAGGATGTTGACAAGTTGGAGCACATCCAGAGGAGAGCAACCAAAATGATGAAAGGTTTGAAAACCATGCCCTGTGAAGAATGATTTGGGGAGTGGGGTATGTTTAGCCTGGAGAAGACAAAGTTAAGAGGTCATATGATAACCATGTTTAAATATTTGTCATTGAGGATGGAGCAAGCTTGTTTATTGCTGCTCCAGAGACTAAGACACAGAGCAGTAGATTCAAAGTACAGGAAGAGAGATTCCACCTCAACATTAGGAAGAACATCCTGACAGTCAGAGCTGTTTGACAGGGGAACAGCATCCTTCAGAAAATGGTGCAGTCTCCTTCTCTGGAGGTCTTTTGCATTACCCCTTCTCTTCTGGCTTTCCCAATTCTGTTTTTACTAAAGCATGTGATGTAGTTTTGGTTAGGGTCTTTTTGGAGTAGGAAGTTAGATCTGTTTTTTAGCAGTATAAGAACAAACAATTTGAGATGGGGATGGGCCTTGAAATAGGGTCTGAACCCTAGTGTTGTGTGTTTTGTTTGCCTTCTCACTGTGACCCTTGCCAAGGAAACCTATTATGGGGTTTCCTTGGCAAGATTTGTTCAGAGGTTTGCCATTGCTTTCTCCTGAGGCTGAGAGAGTATGACTCACCCAAGGTCACCCTGTGAGTTTCGTGGCCAAGTCAGGAATTGAACCCTGGTCTCCAGAGTCATAGTCCAGCATTCAAACCGCTATACCACACAGGCTCCCTTGAACCACCCCAAGGATACCAATTAAGACTTCATTCTCCTGTCCTCGCTATATCCAAGCTGTTACTGTTTCCTCTTTCCCCACTAAAAGCTCTGCAGAAAAATCCAAAGAAATGGGAAAACTCATCATTCTGATTTCCTTGCTTCTTCTCAACAAAGAAAGCCTGGTTGAGGTGTACTGAGAGAAACTGGTTTGGGTAAACCTCCCAATCTACCATGTTGTCCTAAAGAGTACAAAACTGGGTATCAGCTGGAAGAAATAGAAGCATTTAGCTACAATCCTGCGCACTTCTTCTACACGTCCTCTTTAAAGTGTGGGTGTGGGTGCGGGTGCATGCACATCTTCAATTTGGCTGTTGACTTATAGTGACCCCATAAACTTCATAGGATTTTCTTAGGCAAGGAATACTCAGAGGTGGTTTTGCCAGTTCGTTCTTCTGAAATGTAGCCTCCAGCATCTGGTATTCTACTGAGGTTTATTTCTGAATAAATACATGTATGACTGGGTGTAGGAACTGCCTTATGGGAACAGAATGGCTCCATTTATATCTATCTTGTCTGCCTGTTTCCTGCCCTTTATTGTGGGACCTCAAAGCAGCGTACAATATAAATAATATAAAATACTTCCAGATTAAAAACAGAAATATATACAAAATAAAAACATATTAGACAAGACAAAAATTAAAATGACGTTAAAAGCTACAACAATTTTTTTAAACCATGTATTTTTCATAGTAAATTAGTCCTTGATCACTTTAATAAAAATCCATAGCTTGGCATGGGAAAGAAACCAATGTTGGCACCAGTCAGACCCCAAGGGGAAGATATTCCACAATTGGGATGCCACAACCAGGAAGACCCATATCTTCACAAAGAGAAGAGTCACTCCTGTAGGCCTTGCTGACAGGCAAGTATATATAGGGAGAGAAGCATCTTCAATTAGCAAGGCTCCAATCTGTTTAGGGATTTAAATGTACTTAAATTCTGCATTTTGAAATTGGACCAGAAGTAAACTGGCAGCCAGTGGAAGAGGTCACTCTTCTATTTTTATCAATCCCCGTCTGGCCCCATATTGCAGCCCACCTTCTTCAGCAGAGTTTTCCCTGTGTAGCATTGGAGATGCTGCTGTGGGAAGGAGGAATGGGTAGTGAGATCTGTTTCAGCCAGACTAATTGTGTGTGCCTAAATCAGGATCCTTTACTCTGTGCTCAAGCATGGCAACATTGAAAGGGATTAGAAGAGCTACATAAAAGAGATTTTTTTAAAAAATAAATAAATAAATGACACGTGGAATAAAGAACCATACAAAGATGAACCCCAATTCTAGAAAATTAAAAATAAGAGAAATTGGGAGAAATACATCACCAGGAATAGATTATATTCCACTTGTTCTGCTACAATCTACACAGACAGAACCAACTCTAGTGTTAACTAATATAAGACAACAAATATGAAAAACAAAATAGTGGCCAACAGACTGGAAATGATCAATATACATCCCTGTCTACAAAAAAGGAGACACAGAAGCAACTACAGTAGCCCTTCCCAATTCATGAAGGATCCGTTCCAGACCCCCCCCCCCATGTGAAAATGGTGGCTCGCAAATATTCAAACCCCATTGAAAATAATGGTATGTGCACACAGCGCCGTGCACAGGCACAGAGCCCATTTTGTCCCCCTCCATTTGCTGCCGGCGAATGGGCGAGGGATGTAGACTCCAAGTCTGCTAAAATGGAGGGTCGACTGTATAGGAATATAGCATTGATTCCCCATGCAAGCAAAATAATGCTCAAAATTCTCCAACACAGACTCCAACCACACAAATGGAGAAAAATCCCAGAAGTGCAAGTGGGGTTCAGTAAAAAAAGAGGCAATAGGGACCACATTGCAAACATACAGTGGTTAATGGAGCACACAAAGGAATTCCAAGAGAAAAATCAGCATGTGCCTTATAGACTATAGCAAGGGTAGGCAACCTTTCCCCTTTAAGGGCCGAGGGACTTCAGCTCCCAGAATCCCAGGAGCTATTGGCCAACATGGGACTATTGGCCAACATGGCTGAGGCTTCTGGCAACTGAAGTCCCTCGGCCCTTAAAGGGGAAAGGTTGCCTACCCCTGGACTATAGCAAGCCTTTGACTGCATACATCACTAAAAACTATGGATGGCTCTTAAAGACATGGGAATGCCACTACACGAGATAGTCCTGATGAGAAATCTGTACTTAGGCTAAGAGGCTACTGTTGGAACAGAATATGGAGAAACAGAATGGCTCCCAATTGACAAAAGGGTTAGGCAAGGTTGCATTCTACTTATTCAGCTTGTATGCAGAAAATATAATACAAAGAGCAGACTTAGACTTAAAAGGAGGAGGAATGAAGATAGGTGGTAGAAACATTAATAATCTAAGATATGCAGAATACACCATACTACTAGTGGAAAACATCATAGACCTGGAACAATTACCAAGGAAAGTCAAAGAAGAAAGTGCAAAGGTAGGCTTACTGCTGAACATAAACAAAAATAAGGACCACAGACGATGTACATAAATTCAACCTAGACAATTGGGAAAACGAAATAGTTAAAAGATTCCCCGTACCTTGGATCAAATATTGATCAAAATTAAGATTGCAATCAAATAACCAGAAGAAGATTAGGAATGGGAAGGGCAGCTATGAAAGAACTAGGCAAGATCCTAAAGTGTAACAATATACAACTAAGCACTGGAATCGTCCAGGCCATTGTATTCCCCACCACCATGTATGGATGTGACAGCTGGATGGTAAAGAAAATGGATAAGAAAATCAACTCATTTAAGATGTGGTGCTGGAGAAGATTGCTGAGAACACTGAGGGCAGGCAAAAAGATAAACAAATGGGTCCTTGAACAGATCAAGCCTGAATTCTGAACTGGAAGCCAGGATGACTAATGGGGGTTGCAGACTGCCAGAAATAGTGCAAATTGAGTCCACTTTTAGGGTTAGGGAATCATGGGAACTGTATTTTATTGTGGCACCAGAGCTCTCTGACAGAGAAGGCTCAATGTCTCAGAAAAAAACAATTCCCATGATTCCCTAGCACTAACCCTAACCCTAAAAGTGGACTCAATTTGCACTATTTCTGGAAGTCTGCAACCCCCCTAAATTGAGGCTGTCGCATTTTGGCCACATCATGAGAAGGCACAACTCATTAGAAAAGACAATGATGCTGGGGAAGATAGAAGATAGTAGAAACCACAGGACAGATGGATAATCAGAGAGGTCACAGGCCTGAATTTACAGGAGCTAAGCCAAGCAGTGAAGGACAAGGGGTCTTGGAAATGTCTTGTTCAAAGGGCCGCTGTGATTCGGGGTCAACTCGAGGGCAGTTAACAACAAAGGTAAGCTAGATGATTATTTGGCATAATCTTAAATCACCACTGAGCTACACTGATTAATTAAAGCAATATTTCTCAGAGACGTTTCTTTTTCTAACAGTCAAAAGCGAACAACTGTGGCTCATCATTTCTCCCAGTGTTTGGGCACTTCCCTAGCACTAACATTTTCCATCTAAATTAGCAGAGGGGGACGAGGGGGGGTGTCACCCTCTTTAATGTCTTGTGGATACTGTACGCCCTCTTGTACAAAGCACAAATTGTATCCAAAAGCTTTTCTGCTATCTCACAGCATCATTTGTACCAAATCTAAAAGTGATGCTTTACCAAAAAAAAAAAAAAAAAAGCAAAAAAAGCACACACACACAAAAAAAGCACAGTCTCGATTCATTGCTCTGCTTAAGTGGCACAAGTTGCTTCAGCTGCAAAGGTCTGACCTGCTTAGCAGCTATTAGCTGACATCAGCTGCTGTGTTCAGGGAGGGAGGAGGGCAGAGAAGGATTCATTTGACAAAAAGCACAAGAGAAAGGGGGTGGAGAAGGAAGAGGAAGGACTGAAATCCTGTGGTCCAAGAACATCCTGTGGTCCAAGAACAAGCAAATTCCATTTTTTGCTCACTGCCCAAGATTCCATCTAATTACCTTGTTTCCTCTGAGCTGATTGGAAAGTGGCCTTGTGTCTGGACCAAAAGCTCTAAGCATCTTACATGCATCTGTTCCATCTAATCCCCAATAACTAGGCCCTGTGTTTCAGAAGGACGGCGGGGGGAAGGGGGAAAACAGGACTGATGGAATTCCCTTGCATGCTGCCTTGTGACACAGCGGAAGGCTATGCAGCTAGGAACATCCATACACATATCTGCGGTTCTGGAATTGTTCATATACAACTGCACAGCAGAAACAACAAACTGTGCTGTGCACTAGGATTACAAGCGGTAAGACCAAAAAACAAAAGCTCTTTTCCCTCCCCTTAGTGGGAAGAGCTGCTCCTGGGTTTCACATCTGTTTAGACACCAGTTTCCTCTTCATTGTAATCTATGTTTGCAGTGTTGTCTTTGAGAGCAGCTACTAAATTTCAAAAGAAAATGTTTGCAACCCTTGCCTTGCTAAAAAGCACATTTCAAGTACAGCTGTTAAAGAGGCAGAAAACTGCTCTGTATACATCTGGCCACATGAGAGTTTTCAGTGAATTTTTAGTAGCAGGAGCTAATTTGATGCATGGGGACAAACAGGTCTGTTTGCCAAAAGAGGGGTTATTATATTTAGAATGTGCGTCTGATTGGTACCCATTATTATTATATTTTTGTTTATACTGTATAATAAAACAAGTTAACAGTTCAGACTCTTGGAGTATAAAGGTGTGCACACTTCTCACCCTGCTGTTTCCTTGGGAGAGAAGTTCACTTTGCACATTCACACACTGATTTGGGTGAGATGCCATAGCTCTTAGCGGCAGAACTTCTGTTCTGCAAGAAAAAGCTTTGAAGTGAAATGCAAGGCATCTCTAGAATAAACAAGAAAACACTCCACCTTGAAACTCTGGGGTGGTATCAGTCAGCCCACATCAGCCTTACCCAATGTGACACTTTGAAAAATATTCATCTTTCACTCCCATCATCCCCAGCCAG